ACTTGCAGACTTCCTCTCCATGTGGTTTAATCATGGAAGCATGTAAGTCTTTATTCTAAAAAAGAAGGGGCAATTTTGACCTTTTCTTTCCCTTTCTTAAACAAAAAAAATATATGAGTGACATAAAATTCATGTCCCTCACCACTGAAAAAAAGTCACCCACAGCCACAACCATATATTTGTGGTCTCTATTAAAAAGAAAAAATTCTTACGTTAGAAGTGCAAATCCTTACTTCGATATTTGTATGTTATATTAAAAAGAAAAAGAAAAGCACGAGCCAAATACTATACTTTTTTCTTTTATAGATTATTAATTTTATTAACTTAATAGATGAGGTATCAATAGGAAATGTAAAATTAATAATTTTTTTTTTTGAAACAGGTGGTCAAAAATTGCTTCTCATCTTCCGGGAAGAACCGACAATGAAATAAAGAATCACTGGAACACCCACATAAAGAAGAAGCTTAAAAAAATGGGAATTGATCCTCAAACTCACAAGCCCATTTCTCCACCAAATTCCGATGGCACCCATTTGCCCCAAAAGGAGCAGAAGCACCAAAAGCCACCAAAGAAGCAGCTGCCGCCGCCGGAAGAAGCGAAGAAAGATGACGACAAAGAGGCGGTGGTGGTGGCGGTGGCGGCCGACGACGGAACCAGCATGATGGAGGAGTTGATGGTTGATGGGTTCTGCACAGAAGAAGTTCCTGTAATTGATCATGAAATTCTAGTCCCTTGTGCTTCATCTTCATCGCCCACTTCAACTTCTTCAACTTCTTATTCATGTTCTTCTTCTTCTTCATCTTCAAACTCAGAATTGGCAGCAGCCAACAGCTTGCTTCAGGACTTGGTAAATGAGTTTCCTGAGTTTGAGTGGCCAAATATTTGTGAAAATAATTGCATGGAGGAGGAGCCTTGGGAAGAAGATGAATTTGGGATTTGGGATTTTGTGTTTAATAATAATAATAATCCTTGTGTTACCTTGGAATTGGATAATAACCCTCAACCTTGGCCTTATGGGTTATTATAATTTAATTTTATATATATCATGTAATATCTTCTATATGACTTTGCTTGTTTTTCGTTTATAGATGGAATAAAAACCACACCATTTTAGGGAAAATCCCATCTTTTTGTTTGTTTTCACCAGGACGGGTTAAGATATTTATATCTTCTCGATTAATTAGTTCAAATCTCCGTGGCCTACATTTTAATAAATTTCAACCTTTAAAAGAAAGTTCTATTCTGTTTTTGATTCCATAAATTTTAATATAAACTCTAGGTATCGTCTTTTTGCTATTTGGAACCTATAAATAAGACAAAATGACATGACAATTTAATTTTTTTTCTCTCTTATTTGACATCTTCGTGATGTTACATACTTGATAATTAAGTTTACAAGCTAGTTTAGATTTATTTTGCTCTAGTTATTAAAGATGTTATAATTCAATATTTTCCTCAATTTCTTTGAGAGTAGATGTTTAGTATTGTCATTTTTATATCATAGGCTGTTAACTACTAAATATATCGATTCTTTTTTTTTTATTGGTTGATAAATAAGATTTAAACAATAAAGCTCAAATTTAAACGACTTTATCAGACCTTTTTATGATAGAACGGTCTGAACTCCAACGACGAGATCCTGTCACCCCTACTGCTTATTTGAATTGAAAAGAAAAAACGACGAAGTAAGCAATAGAGACAAGTGCAACTACCGTACTCTGACTTAGTATACATTAGTATATACACTTACACTCAACTTATTTTTAATTTATACTTTCGATAGGATTTATATATTATTAAGAGAAAAATAAATGCAACCTCCACATTTTGACTTAGTTTTTTCATATCATAAAATATATGTCTCGAGAAATTTTATAAAATTAATATGAAAAAGAGCTCCAAACCCTTTAAAGAAAAAAATGAACGTTATTATCCGACAAAAATTAAATAAAAATAAAATGCAATAGGTTTAATTAATTAAAAAATAGGTTTAATTAATTATATAATTCCCCTACCAATTCGAAATATTACAAATATTGCAAGTTCCACGTGAGTAGGAAGTTGGGACTTGGCTGAATTATAGCAGATAGTGACACCAACGCTTTTTTTTCACTTAAATTAACACATATTTTATTTCCAAAGGAAAAAAAAAGACAACCAAACGCGGAATTGATTTTTTATTTAATAATAAAATAATACTACTTGTAGATATCAACTTTTTTATAATTGATTTGACTAAGTTAAGTACTTGACTTGTGAATAAAAGATATGAAAATCAATGATAGGAATATGGTTAAAAAAAAAAAGGAAAGAAAGAAAGTTATATAAAGTCTTTTTTTTTAACAGATAAAGTCATTAATTATATATATATATATATTTTATTTTATTTTTTTCACCACCGAACATGACAAATATCAAGTATAAGAAATTTTTTGTAGAATATTTAAATAAAATTAAATCATACAAAATATTATCTAACTTAATTATGCAGTTAATTAAATTCTTGGTCCTTCACGAATTAAAAGATTTAATTTAATTTCTTTTTTAGCTAATTTCTGGAAATTAAATTTCAAAAGGTATAATTGAACTAAAATCTTTCTTAAAAGATGTTATCGAAACTTTTAATATGTTAAAAAAAAAGAAAAATTAAAACAAAAAGATAGGGAAGAGACGTGGCTTTATTGAGAGTTATTTTTTAACATAATTTATGAATTAAATATTGGGATTAAGATTCCTTCTCAGCATATAACATTACAAATACCATTGCACAAATTTGAACGATGCTTAAGTTGACATATTGAGATTAAGATTAATTTTGGAAAAAATATTTATTTAGATAAAATATTTAGATGTTTAATATTGAATTATAATTAAAATATAAAATTAGATTCTGAAGAAGTACACCATAATCTCTTTTTATCTCTAAGTCTTATTTTCCAAGTTGGCAAAGGCTGGAAGAACTTGTGCTACCTTTGAATGAACAAGTCTTTATCGAGAAAACTTGAGAAATGTACTTAATTCACATTTATGGAATATTTTATATTTTTTCATCATTTATACAGAAAAGTAAATATATATTAAAAAATGGGAAATGTATTAAGATACAATAATAAAATATACCGTAAATGTAATATAATTTAATATGATTCTAATCATGATCTCCTAATCAACTGTAATTCTTAATTAAAACAACAAAACAAAACTCTGAGTTGTATATATAGATGGTTGGTTACCATGTTGCCTGTTTAACACCATTAAAATATAGACCTAAAATTTTAAAATGTTAAAAATATTTATCAACGACAATATACTATATGTGTGGCGTCACGGAAAAATGTTCTAGCTTCCATGAAAGTTTAAACCTGTCTTCAAACATAATTTGATCGGTACTTCGTGTTTTAGTCTCTAAATTAAATTTGAATGATTGTGTTTGTTTTGTCCCAAAATTTTTAAAAACTTCAATTACAACTCTAAATTGTAAATGAAATTCAAGTGATAACTCACCATTAACATTGTTACTTAAATGTTGGCGTACCTCAATGATTAGATTAATCGGTGATGATTTGGTACAATAATGTGACATATTGAGATCAATAAGTCAACTAAATAAGATAAAGATGAGATACATTAGAAAATTTAGTTTAAGTACTCTTATTGGATGCTTATGTTTGTTCATACTAGCTAGTTGATTTTAAAGCAAGAGCTAACTCCAATCGAATAATTACATGTCATTATATGCTAAGTAAAATCGATCAAGGAATGTTAAACTAGATCAAGCTCTAAACATCTATTTTCCTTAGTTCCCATAAAAGGTCAACTACATATGATTTTTTTGAGCTATAATAGATCAACAACGACCTATTATATATATATATATATATATTAGATATCATTGCACGAATAGCCAAGGGACCAAAGGGAAAGGTCGACTTAATTCAAGTTTAACAAGCCAGCTATTTATTTTTGCAATTTAGGAGCATCGCTATATCCTTTAACCTTTGATTAATTAGTCTATGATTACATGACATTGATAATTGAGAGGAATTCAATTACTAAATAATATTTGAATCTTTGTTGCTCTTATCTCTTTTATGATAAGACTAATTAAGTTCTCAATTGTCAATGACGAGACTTTTTCATGGTAACATGTTTAAAGTCGATTCGAAAGAAGGGTTGGATGATAAATAAGTTAGAAACATGCTAACCATTTTGACGTATTTTTAGCAAAAGGCATTATCCTTAGATGACATGCAAAAAGAAAAGGCAAAGCATATGTAAGCGGTGAATTATGTGAAAAGAGAAGGAATGGAGTAATGAAGTAGTAGTTGTATTGAGAAAAAAGAAATTCCAAACTTAGCCAGTGGGATTCTAGGAGATAATGAAGCCAAATTTTTATTTTTGAAAAATAAAAATAAGCCAAAGATTTTCCTCCACACACTCCTAGTCAATGTGAAAGCCAGCTAATTACCTAAAATATTATAATTTCCAAGCCTATATTCTTTTTGTCTGTATTGTGGTTGACTTGGAATATCTTCTTGACCATTGAAAAATTGAACCCAAATAACAAACAAAATCAAAATAAGATAAATTCACACTTCTTTCATCATGAATATAATTACAATATTTATTACTATTATATTTTTTTTTTCTTAGGTAAAGATGACTCCATTTATTCTTCCTGCCCCGTCACAGTGTTTCACATATACTGGTTTAAGGTTTCAGAAGATAGCTATGATGACAAATGCCTGAAAATAAAATGTTAAAATACCTGGAAATAAAAATTAACTCTATTTGATTACATATGGAAATGAGAATAAATAAGGTCTGTCTGTACGAGAATGTTAACAAATTTACATATATATATATATGTATAGGTATATATTATATATATATATATATTGGAAAAAAATCACACTTCATTGAAACGAATAGGTAATGAAAAGAGTAGGTGAGAAACATACAACTTGGCTTAGAAAAAGCACTTCAATTTATTTAAGGTAATGATGGTTACATCATAATTACAAAAGTGGGAAGCTTTTGATGACCGCTTTAATGCAGAGATCTCAACATTTTCCCAAATGCCAGCGTATGATTTCGAAGAGTAAGAGAAAACTTTTCCATTTCGTTTCAACCATATATGTCACAAGAGAGAAACAAAAGTGTTGCACCGCACGAGACGTTCCACCCAAAGTCCAATCCCAAATAATATTTATGTTTACTTCGTACAATTACTTGCATCAATTTAATTGCATCAATTTATTACATTTTCATATAAAAAGATTAAATATATACTTATTGTCATTTCCATTGACATTTTCGTGTATCTATAGAGTTGACATCAACATGATAGATAAATTGATATTTCAATAGTATTACAAAAAAACCGATAAATATGAAAAAAAAAGTATCACTAATATAGACGTATAATATTAATATAACCATTTTTAACTTATTTAGAAATGGTAAAATGTTTATTTGTTAACTTTAATATTTTTTATAATTTTTCCATAATTAAATATCCATCGACATCGATATTTTATCAATATTTTCGTTGACARAATTATAAAATATTGATAAAATATGTTAATTTATGTTAATCTAGTTAATATTCGTCAACCTGAATATTATCGATATTATCTAAATTATTATCTAAATTATGCCAAAATTTATAACTGTCTTATGATATTATCTACTTTGAACTAAACCCGTATTTGTATACTTTGATTTTACTATCAATGAAGATGTATTCCTTATATCTTATACGTACTATGAATCTTGCGATGCAAGGCTATACTCACATCCCGAAAAGGAGTTAATATAAAAGGGTTTGAATTTAAATTCCTAGAGATGAATGAGTTTGGCATCCTACAAACCAAAGCCCCTAGTTTCCACTCACACCGCTTCCATTTTGCACAAACTTCTACACCTTTGAATTTTAATTTCCACTCACACCCAAACAAATCTAATACAATGTACGAAATATAAATACCATGTTCATACATGTACACTGACGTATACGATGAAAAATATGTTAATTTATATTAATCTAGTTAATATTCGTCAACCTGACTTTATGTTTGATATTCATTGTCCAACA